ACTTTCCAAACAATTGATGTATCTACTGGCCTTCTTGCGGGAAATGTGATCTGAATAAGTGATCGTTAGTAAATATCTTTTAGCTGAACCAGTACAGGGAAAGAGGACTGGACGTTCTATCAAATGATGAGAGAAGTGAAAATAAAGAAAGACTAGAGAGTATATTTATTTATTTATATCAAATGGCAGGCGTTTAGATAGTTATCGTCAGCCCTTTAGTTGACTTCAGGCTTCACAGAGGGGAGGATCATCAAAGTGAAAAAAAGTCGAGAGGAGGGGGGCAGAAGAGTGTTTTAAAGATGTGAAAGAGACAGGCACAAAGGTCGAGAGTAGGGTAAGGCGAGTACTGTGGAAGCGGTGGAATATAACATGCAATGGGGTCATGTTAGTTTGAAATCAGAAGTCACCTGCCAGTTAATCGACTTTTTTGCCGTATGAGTATAAGTTACCCAGGATGCACCAAATGGCCACCACACCTCCTCTGAAACAGGGGTTCATTTGGCTGAGTCTATCTGGATTTTGTGCTCTTTATTGGCTAACTCTGAGTTCATGTTACTTTACAGGCTAGCAAGTGCATGCGTACTGGATGGAAAGGTTATTCGGTTAACCTACTTCTAATTTATCAGTAGTACGTTTAATATGGCATCCGATAGTGCTTCATGTTAGCACTATTCTCTCTGCTCTCATCTCTCTCTCACCTTCCTCTCTCTCTCTTTCCTCCCATCTGGATACTTCAATGTTTAACCTTCGTATTGTCAACATTTTGGTGACTTTTCCCTATTAAGATCCGACTGCCTGCCTTTATTTAGCATTTGCTCTACCATAACCTTGCCGTTATGGAATGTAGTCTTAAGTGACATAAACTTCAAGAATGCTCATAGCAAAATCAAATGAAGTGGGACTCTTAGATTCCCTCACGTTGCTCACAAAATTGTTGACCTGATCCATTTTATTATACACCGGGCTTCAGTCGTTTCCATGATTAAAACTTTCATATTTTTATTGACCTCTGGGTAATAATAATAATTAATTAGGTAAAATTTAAGAATAATGTGAATAGTTTTTATTTAAATATCAAAAGGCGAAAGTGTTCCAAATAAATGCATTTATGGATCTATCGTGAGGTCATTCTAGGCTAAAACTAGCGTGATCATCTCGATTAATAAACATCAACTATTTTCAAATGTTAAAATTTCAGTAAAATATCAATTCCAATAAGAAATCGCAGAATTTGCGAAAAAATAAATTATAATTTCATTAATTTAAAAATATGTGTGTGGAATTATTTGCAGTTCTTCCCCCGTGGCTCTTATAGTTCATCAATCACCTTTTTAAAAAAAGGGTGATATTGTGAATTATAATGACCTTTCATGTGATTTCCAACTTTTGTTGCATTGCGAAATCATTTTTCCCCTAGAATTCACTTCATGGCCCAGAAAAGATAATGATCTCATGTGGCGAAGTCTTTCGAATATGACGAAGGTGGTAGAACCTCTTATATTTAACGCCTGCGATTTGCGTGGCGGTGGTCACTCCTGCATTATGCGGGAGGATCGGGTATTGACATGTTGAAGAACTGTCTCCTTTATAGTAAATAAGCTTGAACACTTATCTCCAATCTCTGTTTCAGTCTTTTCAATAATTGACAACAATAAACTACTTGTTAACCATCTGGCTCTAACAATCCACTAATCTTTGTCTAGACACATGAGAGACCTAGGCTCTTACTTGAAAATGTTAAATCTAAAAACAAAACTATCAAAAAATACATGCAAAGCGTTCCAAATACAAACGCCAAACGGACCAACTTGGCCATCTCCAGTTTGCCAAACTCATTGCCCAAACCCTCTTCAACAACAGAAGGGATACAATAATTTAGGGAATTTCTAAATATTCGATAGGAAAAAAAGAAGTGTTTTCGTCTTGGGAATACAATCAAATGGAAGGGGAGGGGGGGGGGTTAAATAAGGCGCAATCATCAAGTAGACAGTCAGTTAAAATGGGATAAGAAGAATGGGAGGAAGGGAGGGAGATAAGAAGAGACGGAATAATAAATAGGATATATCATTCACACTGACTACTGATTACTGTCGGGACTATCAAACAATCGAGTTTGAAGTTTTTTATCCATTGGTACGTCATTGGTATCATCGAAATCGCACTTGCGACGACGTGCGAAAATGGGAGAGAGGTTGGGACTTTCCATGTGGCGTTTTCTACTCGACGATTGGTCGGCGGCCTCCGAGTTCTCCTTATTATTTGGCGAGTCCCGTGTGCTTTCCTCGTCGTCAAAGCAAACAACTTGGCCAAATGGTGCACCTGAATCTTCCTCTTCAAAATTAAAAGCGCCGCTAAAGCGTCGATAACTTCTCTCCGCTTCGTAACTAGTTCGACCGCCAACAAGTGGGCTCACCTAGAGTTGAGTATAAGAATCAGAAGCTAATAATTCCAGTGTTTGCCAATTTAGTAACGTTGAGATTTAAGATTATCCATTATTGAGATGAGTCCACTAAGGACACACAAACAATCCCGCATATTGATTCCCTACTTGGTATTTTGATTTCTTTAGATCAGTCGCGACATGATTTGCTTAAAATTTTTGGAGGTTATCCACCGTCATATATTCGGTTAACTGGAAGTGCGACGACGCCCCTCCCCTCCTCTCAATTCTGCTGCAACCTATTCTGGTACCAACTACCACCTTCTCTCCCTCCAAGGCTTGGACCAGGAGTGATTTCCATAAAAGGCGAATGGCAGGATGTAATAGCCTTTCCCAGAAGAACAGAAGCTTAATTAGGCGTAATACATGAACAAGTGAAGAAAAAGAGGCCTCAGCCAGTCCTGTGGTAAAAGGGTGAATATAATAACCGATTTCAGATTAGGACAACCAAGATATGAATCAACAGGGTCGGACGTAATATAAATAAAGCAAGTTAATATGGAGGCGATTCAGGACTAAAAGATGCATGAAACGTCTAAATATAGACCAAGAATGATAAGGTGTACAGAGGGTGAGAGAAGTAGCCACTTTCTCACATGACTACAGTCCTCTGTCTCAAAGAGGGAACAAATGATTATACCTTTGCATGCTGGAACTTCTACTGATCCACTCTACTTGTAGGCAAGTGTGTGTGTTCGGATTAAAATACGTTTAATACGTTTAGGGCTTAAGACAGCTTTTGACCGGAACTAAACAAGGCCGAAAATTCGGGGTATTAAGAAATCTATTAATTGGCGAGTACTTCTTCCACGCACTGACCTTTAAGTGCTTATATTTTTCTACTGCAACACGAATATGCATTTTCTTTCCAAGCCATTTAAGAGGACGTCAGGACGAGAGATTCATAATTTTAAGCAAACTGAAACGATAACTTTGAGTGTACTTACTCAAAAAAATGATCAAACAGAACATCAGAGTCGATAGTATCAACAGGCCACACCTTGGTGACCAGCAGAGACATATCTGCTAACAGAAGATCAATTCTAAACAATACGAAATTTGACTACTCAAGCAGTGAACTTGAACACTCTGACCTGAGACCCAAGTGAGATTTCAAAATGGCAATTACCTCAATCTCTACAGCGAAGTAGACAAGTAGAAGAAATAAGAAATTAGTTGAGTCAAAGTTCCTCCTGAACGTCTTTCATTACTCGCGAGAAACAACTAAGAGTTCATGAGGTTCAGATATTTACCCATGTATTCACTTTGCAGCTAATACTCCATAAAAGGAGCTTTTAGGTCCTAAATCAATAAAACAAAACGTGATGCTCCATTAATGGTAAACAAGTATTTTTGGGACAAAAACAGTCTCTGAAATTAGAATCGATTGATCAACGTCCAAATAAGATGTGAAGTGATACAGTTCGTTTGACCTATGAGGAAATTTTCCGAATAAAGGGAAATTTACTTACCGATTCAAAACGATCAAATTTGTGTGCAGTTGGGGTCCGGCTTTCGAGGGCGATTTCATTAAAACAACTTGTCAAATTGGTTCGAGAACTGCTAGATCTGGCTTTGGGCTTGGGTGAGCACACCGACTCAGTCATAAAGCTGAAGGGCAGAGCAAACTCGTCTTGGAAGGAGGTGATATCAGATTTAATGTTGAGTGTATCGTTGGAGGAATTTCTGAAAAGTGAATGGGAAAAAAACGTTACGACAAAATGTGCAAAGCCTTGGTCTGAAAATTTAGTCAAAACTACACAGGTGATGTTATTTCAGTACCCACTATAGGTGAGGTCTATTTTAAAAGAAGTATTTTGCCAGTCATAGCAGACTTCTCCCAGATACAAATCGATCCAGGTGGCATGAACAAGCACGAAGCTAAATCAACCGACTAGCGCGAGCTATGGACAACAAGCCATGAAACAGAGACACTGGCAGAAATGAGGAAATGAGGATATTGCGCGTTCATCTCGGATAGAAATGTAGTCAATTAGGAGTTTCCAGAATCCACGATTTCACTTCCTACTTTCTCTCTGATGCTCACCACTTTTTACTCTATTGAACTCACACCCCCATTATCCTCACTCATATTCTCTTCCTTGAGTAGAGCACATAAAGTCTATTGCATCATCACATACATAATAAGTCAATGTAAATGGCTCTGCTATGCTTACAACCAAAATGAAGGACACAGAATCGGCCCTTAGTGCCTACGATCGCTATGCTCTGAGACAATAGGAGTAATAGTCATCCTTCCATACCCAAGAGAACAAGGGGGAGGACGAGATTAAAGAAAGATGGTGAAATGGGGGGGGGGGTGAGAGACCAGGTTGTCTTGAGTACTAACAAATAACGCTCTCTGAGATGTGTGATCATACCCTCACCAACTTTGATGAATTCTATTACTTATCAAGAAATAGTCTTTTTCGAAAAGTCACAAAGGAAAACTCATCAACAAAATGCACAGAGATTGCTCATCACATTTAACTCAAATAATCCATTTCTGATTTAATAAAGAAATTGCATAGGAATGATACAAATCAAACCATTTTCGTTAGGGTCTTTTTGCCCAATACGTCGCTTTGGATATTAGTATGCGAGCACTTACGTGGTATTCCTGATTGTTTCGTCTCGAGAAAAATCCCCACTGACACTGGCAGATCCGTAAAAACTGCGACTCTTTCGATGACAGTATGAGCAAGTGGCATTGGGGTGGAGATCATAGGATAGACCAAGCTGTTCTCCAACAGGCTGAATAAATTCTACCCCGGATTTTTTAAAGAAATTATCCCCATAGATGCGCTTAAATTCTTCAAGCTGTTCAATTCTCTTCAAGAGATCGGCAAAATCAACCTGTGCGGCTATTGAAAGGCTAGTCTGAGTCTGAGCTAGAACAAAAAAAAACATTTCACATTAAATAAACAAACTGACTGAGTAAAAGTAAAGACAAGTATTTGCCTACCATCGATTACTTGGGTGGGTTTAAGTACTTTAGGTTTGTTGAATTCAAAAGCCGACCTCACTATAAGGGAAAAAAAGGATAGACTGAGAACAGTGGGACTTACGATCATTCTTCCACGTAGAACATTTTCTTAACTCTGGTCTGCCTATTAGATAAATAAAGAAAGCATTACGCGAAATTAGTTGCGTAAACAATGAATCCGAATGGTAGAAAATACGCACCATCATAGCTTGAGAAGCCCGGACTGGGCGCAACTACGTTGGTTTTAAAATATTTGGCTATCTTTTCCTGAGCAGTTTTATCCACCTAAAAAATGAGAGCGTTTACTTAAAAGTATTGAGTTGAAGCCACGGAAGGGATTTATATCAAGTTGAGAGAAGATTTGGCAGGTTTTTTTTTAGTAACTGCAGTGGGAAAAGTGAACGAAAATTGAGCAGTGGTTAGGATAAAATTTTGGTAAAGGGAAACGTATTCACTAACTTGCTCAGATAAAAAAAATGTGTACGAATGGGATATAAATAAGAAAAGAAGCTTGCAATACTGAAAAAGGGAATAAACAACTCATCAATGTGCATGCAGCTTAACAACCACAACAATATCCATTTAGACTGGCTATGAGTGTGGAACTAAGGCGAAAATTCTGATCAGATCGGTTCTGGGTAGTCCATCTGAGCAAATTTTAGGTTGGTACTGCTATTCGCAAGTTATCCGTAACAGGTCCGACAACTTTGAGGGTTATTTAAATATAGAACTCCTAAGTTTATGGCCCAAAGCGTTTTCCAAAACTCGCCTTAAGCATAGCAATAAAAATACGGTTTTCCTTGATGAAAGAAAAGAATGCTGTCAGGATCAACCAACGAATTTGGGTATTTGCCTCAATGTGGTAGTACAGATGGGCATCAATACAGCCATCTTAATTGTTGTAGACCAGAATGCTGACAACTAAGCAATCAGCATATGCAGTACTTGCCAAGTTGCTGCCTATCAAGGTTACACACGAATTTAAAAACAAAAGCCTCCATTGACAAGTAAAGCGAACCGAACAGGTCTCCGAATTTCTCCTATGTACTAAGAGGGTTAGCGAAGTAGCAGTGAAAAGATTTGAGAGAATATTTTCACTGAAAAAAAGTGGCAACAGTAATAAAGATCTTGATCATTAGACAAACCAAAATAGTAACTTCCAAGGGTGTATTTTAAGACATACTTTTACGTAGAAATCAAACTTTCATGATTCTTAACGGAAAAAGCACACTCTTCACTGAAATTTCAATACCATAAAGCAGTTGACTTGAGAAAAGCGAAGACAACACGGAGCTATTTTAAATAAAATCAAATTTGCTAGAATTCAGGTGACTAGTAGTAATGACAAAAAAATATTCCTGATACCCTCTATACATCAGTGATGCAGAGTTAAACGTGCTTGCCTGAGAGGCAAAGGCGGCAGGTACGATCCCAATCAGTAAACACTCTGGGAGCAGAACGACCAACCGGAATATATATATATATATAACTCAGACTAATAAGGTGGCAAGATGGTCATTTCCAGCCAGTGGAGTTTCATGATGTCGCTCTTCTGTTCAAGATGAAGATTGGAAAAGGCCGCCATAAAAATATTTACCGAGTTAAATAAACGGTAAACGTGTGTAACAGTCGTTCTAGAGAACACACGCTAGAAGCTTAAAGATAAAAGTTTAGTGATGAGAATCGCCGACAATGTTGTAAAAGAACTGATCAGAGAAGGGATATTCAAGTGTGAACTCATCATCAGAAGCTCGAGGTAACCACCTATCCACCTAGTGGTTGAGAGTGAAAAACCATTCAGCTACTTCATCTTGAACTGTATCACTCTTGATGCAATAAGGGCACACTGAGAGGAATTGAATTTTATACAACTAGAGTTCACCAGCAATAGCACAAGAATTGTACACCCAATGGAATAGAAGAGAAGTTCATATAACTGGAAAAAAACGAGAATGTATTGAATTATAATACTACAAGTTAAGAACCTGAATGAATATATTGTAAGCGAGGTCACCATGAGAATACAAAGGATTCAGGCACTTACGCGCCTTCCATATAGGAATAAAACATATTCAATAGGGAGCGAATTGAAAGATGATTAAAACACATCGGCACCTAGATGAACAAAAAACTTAGATAATATAGGCACAAGAGAAGCGACAAATAAAATCCACTCGGATAGGGAAAAACGCAAATGGAGAAAAAAACGAAAAGACACACAGAAATTGAGCCCAAACGAATTCATTGAGGTTGAGATTCTAATCGACAATACTTATTACTGTCGAAGACATCAGAAATAATAAGCCCCATATCCCCAATACGAAGCGAATACGTAGAAAGTACATTTTTAAAAAAAAACAAAATTCAGGCTTTAGTTTGACTTTAGACACCTCAAGTTATGCTATAAGGAAGTGAAGTTCAAAGCAGAAAGAAAAAGAAAAATTAATCGCGAAATTCTGAAATTTTATACTGAGAAAGCCATTTCTACCAAAAAAGTTCAACTAAGATTAATTATGATTAAACGTACAGCCGCATCAAGCCTCTGTTGGAGTTTAACTTGATAAATGGGATTTTCGTCAATTTCCGTTGGGAAATGGTCTCCCTGAATTTCGGGAGAGAAAAAAGATCCGGATGGTCCAGGAACATCTTCATTGGCTCGTTTTTTGGGAGTTGCAAAAATACCAGGTGTAAGAGTTGGTGCACTTAAACGTGAGACATAGTCTTTTTGAAAAGGATTGTAAAGAACACCACCCTGTGGCGTTCGAAGAACTGGTGTTTCGTTACTAGGCTTTGAGGGTGTCACTGGATCTTGAGCTTTGAAATCTTCATCTTCCATTTTATCTAAAATTAAAAACAAATACCATAAATTGCGAACAATTGGCCCTTGCTATCTTCGAAACTGGTAGTATATGCCATAGCATCCAAACCCGATTCGTATTATAAAAAATATAAGTGCGATAGCTTATTAATATGCAAGATAACTGAAAGTAGAATTCATGTTGTATTCTAATTTGGTATAAAATATATTTACTTTCGGTTTACTAAACTGGGGCTTTAACAAGTAATCCCTGAAGCAACCAATGAAAAAACTGAACCTAAAATTTGAAAAGCGGCGGTACGAACTTGTATCAACGTTATCGAATACGTTAAACATTTCTTACATAAATATTAAAAATTGCTTGAATTTATTGCTTATTCTGTAATCTTAAGATAATTCTCTTACTTTGTACAATAGATGTTTATTTTTATTTGCGTGCTTTAGATATACTCAAGCAAACTTTGTTACTCCGAAAGCATAAAATATAAACATTATGTGTCGTTGTATCGTTACCTTTAAATAAAGTATCATTGTCCGATGGATAATAACTTCTATTTACAGTAAAGTTCAAAAAATTTCTTGACGTGCATTTAAGTTTTAAACACAAAGTTTTTCAGGAATTAAATTCTTTTAACTTTCCATCGCAACGTTATCATCACTAAAAATGTAGCTTTTTAAGCAACACACGTGAGATTAACATGCGTCTAATTATTTTTTATTTTATGATCTTTAGTAAGCGTCATACGTATTATGTCCTTCAATATTTCTCATTAAGTGTTGCGAACTATTTCTTCAGAAATTTTTAAGAGACAAACAACTACGCTGTATTACGATTAGCCTTGCAATTAATTTGAGCAACCTGCGGCAACAATTGAAATGACCTAACGGAAGAAGTAAACAATAGCAAGCACGATTACATGTATATTTTCATAAAATTGAAAATCGGAAATTGGTCTTTGATAATCTCAATTCATTTGCAGTTAGAAAATCCTGAAGGCTTTTTAGGAATTCCTGAGTCTTAACATATAATAGAGTGCAATATAGCACAATGAATTTATTTTAAGTTCATGGGCTCTTTGAAATCAATAACTCATGTCTTGAAATCACTGAGAGAATGTCAAACCAGATGGTTCTTGAGACTAGTACAAAAGGTTTGAGGCGACACAAGGGTCCCACCGGGTATGTGATAGGCTTACCTCCAAGTGGTGCTCCCTGGGCAACGTATACTCATACGGCAAAAAAGTCTATTATTCGGCAGTTGACTTCCGACTTCAAACTACCATTACCCCACTGTATGTCATGTTTGGCTACTTCCACAGTACTCACTCACCTTTTTCATTCTATCTTTGTATCTGTCCTTTTTACATCCTTGAAATACTCTTCTGTTCCCCCACTCCCTCCCCCTCTCGACTTTTTTCACTTTGATGTTCCTTTCTCTATGTGAAGCACGAAGTCATCTAAAGGGCTAATGATAACTATCAAAATGCCTGCCATTTGATTAAATATTTATTTATTTATTTCAAATGGCAGGCGTTATGATAGGTATCATTAGCCCTTTAGTTGACTTCGTGCTTCACAGAAAGGAAGAGGTACACCAAAGTGGCAAAAAGTCGAGAGGGGGGAAAGAATAATGATTCACAGACGTAAAAGAGACAGACAGACCCAATGGTAGAAAAAAGGTGAGTACTGTGGAATTAGCCGAATATGAAATGCGGTG